CACTTTGAGAACTAGGGGCTACTATGAAGGACAACCGCGGAGAAGCCCTGGAGCTTCGCCCTTAAAGAAAGAACGCTGACTGGAAGTGCGCCGCGTGACTGGTGGAGCAACTCGAAGACAATTGCGCTCCGGGAGAAAAGTACACTATGGCAGCGTTGCTATGGTAACGTGTCGTGGCGTACTCTGGAGCTCGGTCATGTGTGTTTCCGCCAGTCTCGTACTGCGAACAGGAGGAACAACAGCCTCCATTCTTTATGCCACATTGAATGCGCTGCAGCATTATTCCGGCTGTTGTATCCATGGAGCCTCAACAAAAGAGAGTGGAACGAGTGTGAGTCAATGTACCGTACCAGGGATGAAGTATTTGCAATGCACAGTAAAATCGTGCAGCTTCAAAAAGGACATTTTTTCGTTGGAAAGCGATTTGAAGCTATTGAGGACCAACGTTTCCGCCTGCCCTCGGGCCAGTGACCGCGGCGACATGGAGAGGACGAGCAGCGTGGGCTATAAAACTAGGCACTGCGATGATGCCGGCGTCTCTGCTCGGCAGCCTTCAGTCGCATAGCGCTTCACAAGTACACACGACCGGGACCCGTTTGCGCAACAGGAGCCACCGACTGCAAAATGCATCATACTGGCCACAGCTTTTAGCGGTGCTGAACGCATCTCGAAAATAATCATATTTTCGGCCAACACAAATTTCTTGTTCTCAAGGATGGAAGGAGGATTCCCATCGTCAATACCGCAGTCAGCATCGGCGTTCTATTGCAAGGAATCCTAGAATATGCCAGTGGTGAAAGAAGTTTCAGACAAGCGGCCAGTTATCGTGCTGCGCGATACTGGCTGCGACATGGTCGTCCTCCGAAAGGCAATGGTGCCAAAAGAAAATTTAACTGGCAAATATAGACCTGGTCTTATTGTTGGATCGCACGGTGCGCTACATCTTGGAAGCTGTGGTTTTCCTGGACACACCCTTTCTTAGAGAAGAGATTCGTGCTTTGTGCATGAGAGATTCTCGGTATGATGTGGTCGCTGGGAAACTCTCTGGGGCAGCGCTGCTGTACACTTCGATAGCAAAACTAAGCAGGGACGATATTGCAAGCAGCTGCAGTGACGTTGAGCAAGTGAAGCCCACGAAGTCTACTACACTCCGTGGTACACGACACGAGGTATCTGTAATGCACCGATCATGGGCATATGAACCAGAATTGATGGATAGAAGTCCAGCTGCGATAAGCTGTGATAATCGGACGGTGTGCGTTAAAAAACAAGAAAAATTTGGTAGACCCCACGTACAGTGGGAATGATATGCGAAGCACAAATAAGAAAGGGATGATATGTGAAGCACAAATAAGAAAGGTTGGTATGTCACCTTAAAATTAACACAACGTTATGGGGTGGAAAAAAATGATGCCGTACATGACTGTCGTGTCATGATTATCAAGTTTGGATGTGTCGTTTGCTTTCGTCATCTATTCACGTTACGTGATGCCAAAGTTAGTATATCTGGAGCTCGCGAAACGACCACGAGCCCGCTGTGAGCGTGATACGTTGTCACGTTCTTACATGACACGCGTGTCAGGATTATGTTTGCAGCAGTCATATGCTTTCGTCGCCCACTGACGTCACGCAACACTAAATTTGGTGTATGTGGAGCTAGTAAAACGGCCGCGAGCACATCATGAAGGCCCCTATATACTCCATAGTATTGCTGACGGGCGTGCAAGCTCGGCACAGCGACTCTACGTTTGCAACGCGCGAGCGCTCTATAGTCTGACGCCAGGCGCCAGCGGCGCGACCAACGTCCGTCGGCGCAGCCCGACGGCAACCAGCGCGAAATCCGACATGTTGCATTTTGCGTCGATGCGTTACCAAGAAAACACTGCGTTTCTCTCTTTTCATGACGGAGGGACGCCGGACGTACTGAAACGCGCATGCGTCAAAGCAACACAGCGCGGCGCGTGCCTGCGAGCATATGACAAGACTGGTGCCTGGTGACCCGACGAAATGAACGTTGATGAGCACGCACACCGCGTCACGTTGGAGTTTATTGCTGATTTGACTGTGGCATGTAGTCATGTTCTCACAAGACGTACATCTCATGATTATCAGTTCTGCACCAAACACATACCTTCGTCATTCATTGACGTCACGTCATACCAATTTGGCATATGTAAAGCTTGTGACACGACCGCGAGCACATCATGAACGTAGCATGTAATAATGTTGTTACATGACACGCATCTCATGTTTATCATGTTTGCACCATACATTCATCATATACTTTCGTCATCCATTCACGTGCTGTAATAGCAAATTCAGTATAAGTGAAGCTAGTGAAACGGCCGCCAGCGCATCAAGAGCAGCGTGGCATGTAGTCATGTTGTTACATGACATGCATATCATGAATATTATATTTGCACGAGACTCATACAATCGTCTTCCATTCACATACCGTTATAACGAATTTCGTATGTGACGCAAGCGAAACAGCCACGAGCGCATCATGAGTGTGGCATGTAATGTTGTTACATACACACAATTCATGATTCTCATGCTAGGGTCTGTCGCTTGCGTTCGCCATGCAATCATCTCTCAGCATATCAGTTTTGCAACATGTCATGTGAACGAAACCACCACAAGAGCAGCAGGACCATGAAATGTAAATCATGACATGCATAACATACATACCATGATTTTCATGTTATGACTTGTCAAATACGGTCATCCTACAGTCATGTTATGCAATACCAAGTTTGGCAGCGACACCGTTTTCGAAACGGCCAGGAGAACTAAATGTCGTGGGCGGCAGGATACATATACATATATATACATATACATATATATATATATATATATTATTACGAGGCAGTGGGCATGGCTCTACCGTCGTGGACACAGTTCGATGAAAAAGAGTGGACTCGCCGCGCGAGAGACTGGCAGCTCTGAAGCGTCACTTTGGCATGTAAATATAGGAAATACGCTCATTCCTCTCTTCCGTGTGTTTGCGAGCTCCGTAACAATATATATACATATATATATATATATATATATATATATATATATATATATATAATATATATATATATATGCTTAAGGTTGCCGAAGTTCACTTAGGAATGCTTCGCATTTGAAAACCGACCCCATGTGAAACTCGGCGGCTATCCCCCACCCCATGGTCTAAGGCACGGCCGGAATCGCCACTATCTTGCTGGACCTGGACCACCAGAGGAGACGAGGCTCCATCACCTCCGTACACGTTGCCAAAGGTGTCTCCGCGTTGGCGAAAGTGGCAGCACTTGAAGAGGAATCGAGATGATGTGGTCAGCTGTGTTTGATACGGGCAGGAGTTTCCATCACGTCGCTTTCATGACTCGGACAAACCCAGTGTATCAAGGTATCGGTCTCCGGCACTTCAACCATCCCGTTCACACGTTTGCCGATAACGTTAGCGGGCCAAAGTGTTCAAGCGACTGAACAAGGACTTTTACTGACGATGACAAGCTGGTGCTTGTCACAACCAATTGAAGACCAGGAGGAACCCACTGCGTGCATCGTGCGTTGTGCATTCTGCGTGTGTGCACATGTTGCCACGTCAGAGCCGTCAGGGTGTCCACGCCTCATGGCGAGCTACCATGGTGTGCTGGTGTGTGAGCCCACGGATCCTAGTTTTGCTTTGCCAGAGGTGCGGGAAGTGCTGTGCATGTGCGTAGTGGTGACTTATGAAAATATTTTTTTTGCGAGTCGTCGTGTCGCGTTGCGTCTACGCGAATTGTATATGCGGACAACGTTCTGAAATCATGGGGTAGTGTGATGAGTGGCGGAAATTTGAAAACCGCGCTTTTGGAGGGCTATAGAAGACGAAAATGAGCATGGTGCGCAGCGGTGCTGCTCGTGAGAGAGCAGGACGAAAATGAAGGAGACGACGAGAACGCTCAAGAATCCAGGCAGGTCGAGACAGTCGGACGGCTGAAGGGAACAAAACTTGCGACGGCTCGCGGTCCATTGTGGCACACAACCTCTAACGGGTGCACTCAAGGTGAACTCAGACGACGAGCGACGGCGGGCGACGCCAGTGCAAGCGTCACCTTTGAGACCCGCACGCGAGTTGATGGCTCCGGGGTCCACTGAGCCAGGCAAGCTGAGGCCTACGAGGCTGGCCCTACCGGTGTTCCTGGCGTGGCCAAGCACGCGTCTGGCCAGCAACGCTACAGCTAGGCGGCCGTCATAGCGACTGTCGTAATAGCAGCACCACAATCTCAAGGTGACATGGCGACACGTCGGACCATGTCGCCAACAGCGACGTGCCAGTATTTCACGTGCAGTGATGCGATAAATAGCTGGGCGGTGTCAGAGTCTCGGGATTCGTGTTCTGTCGGATAAAGAAGTGAAGGAATAATTATGCCACAATGAATTTTTTGTCAGTATAACTGTTCATATATGTGTGTGCCCATGTCGTATAAACTTGCTGCCGTAGTTTGCGTCGTGTCTACTGTCGTTTGTGCACCTGGGCTCACACACATCTGTCACAATACATATACGGTGATTGTCGGTGGCACCGACGCCGGCGGCGATATCCACCTCATAGTATCCATAAAATCGCTGTCGAAATAAAAGAGAACACATCTTCTCTTTAGCGCTGATAATTCAATGAAAGAAAAACAAACCGGGGTAACTGTGTTTTATGACCACATATAGCGTGACAGAAATCGAGCCTTCATAATTTTATTATAATGCTGGCCATGAACACGTAAAGCAACAGTTAGTTCAACTTAAAACACGTCAATATGCTGTTCTGGCCACAGGTTCAGCTCCCGCACTCATGCCTGGCAGAGATACACCATAGATGTCAAGCAATGAATTCGATGTTTTTGTATAGTTAGCAAACTGTCGTATGCACGTCACAGCATTTCACCTTGAACAATAGCCAACTTATTTGAAGTGTTTGACCTGCTAGACGAATGTTCATAGTACATAATGCAAAATTAACAATATCTTACCTTGTCACTCACACCCATTTGTGATAGGTAGAGTTTATAGGGCAGCCCAGAAGATGAGAGCAGCTGCAAGGCGATCTGCACGTCTGGAAATTGCAGCGATTCATTCTCAAAGCGCGTGCTAACAAATGCAAGAGCTTCGATGGAGCCAGGAATTGTCAATAGACCTGCCAAGAGAAAGAAAAACACATGCGTTGCACAAAACCCTGCAAAGTTGAAACAAAAACAAAGACCCCAATCAAAAACAGCAAAAAAGGAGACAGCGGACCCAGCGCGCAGCGATGATTACTAACTGAACCAACTAGCCCACGTATGAATCCATGAGATATGTTACTGTCTAACCGAAAACTTTTTGGCGCACAGGTAATGAGAGTTGGGGTTTTATGGCCCAAAATCACAATATTACTATGAGAGGTCGTTTGATAGAACTCCAGCCATCGCGGCCACATTTCCAGCGAAAGGTAAATTAACTGAGACATCTGCACATTTAGGTGTACTTTAAGAACACCAGGTGGTCTAAATTTCTGGAGCCCTTCACTACAGCGTGCGGTTTTCGGTCATTGAACACCAAAAATAATATGATTCGGAGAGGTGAAGCAGCGTACCCTAGGGCTGCCGAAATTGCGATCTCGTGGGGATCATTGCTGTGCATTTTAATATAGTTACACTGGACTCTAGCATTTTGCCCCATTCTGAATTTGGCCGTCCCTACCGCTATTCGACCCCACGGCCTGCAACTAAGCTTTGAGTCCTATAACCACTAGACAACAGTGGCAGGTTTTGACGACATATTAACTTGCCTAGATAAAAGATGAGATTAAAATGAGTGGGTGTATGACCAAGCCGCAGCGAGCACAGGACCAGGTTGATTACGGAAACATGAGATAGGAATTCGCTTTGCAGTGTGTGCAGTTAGACTGATATTGAGGATAGTTTCAATAAAAAAATGAGAAATACTTAAGCTTTGCCTTTAAGAGTTGAACATGATAGCGATATCCTGTCTGTAGTGCGTACTTGAGCTATTCAGTGCATACTTCTGATGGTTTGATGTTACCCAAAAAGCTAAAGGCTCGAATACTACAATATAGTCAGAAAAGTTGAAAGTGGCTTGTGTCATTGACGCTTTCTCAAATGGCTGCATACTATGTAACGAATGTGATGTAACATGTCTTAAAGCTTGCTATGCACCCACTACGTGGCCTTAAAGGGTATATGCAATAACGTTTGTGCCTTTTGTAAAGTGTGGCCGGCTTTAAACCACGCAGCCTTTACGACAATCGGAAGTTCTCGCACCTGGTGACATTGTATTCTTGTACCACGTGTGTGCTGTATTGCGAGGCCCGTACTGAGGACACGTGTTTGTAAAGCATGAACGTTATTTCCACTGAATGACCAAACAGAAGTAATATGAACTAATAAGCAGAGGCGTGGCTGTGTAGTAGAACACCTGTCTACTACTTCTCACTCATTCCTTTAACATCTCCGTAGAACATCTCACTTATCTCTTTAAATTTAATATTTTTAATTCGTATCTTTCCGATATTTACGGTCGCAATCAACGACGCACACGCTGATGCCGAAATTTTGGCGAATGGAGCTCTTTAAGCGCTACTGCACTAATAAAATACACTTTTGTATCAAAGGCTACCTTGTGAACGATACATGTATACAGAGAAAAAACACGACCACATACTCTTGAATTCAGCACACTAAGAAATGATACAAGAAAACAAAAGAAAACAAAATGACCTTTCTCTCGAACGATTCTTTGTGTCCACTGCAAGACAAAAGCGTATCTCATAGGCCTTTAGTTTGTGGGAGCTCATATCATTTCTTCCCAGCTATTTCCTTAATATCGGCGCTTCAGTTTATTTTCGACTCCCCACTGTTTTATTTCTCCTGTTAAAACCCTTATTCTGAGTGATCATTATCGGTAATATGCAGAACGTGTACGATCTAGATTCGCCAATTCCTTTCAGGGTAATCTACAACACTACCTACACCTAATCACCACCTGGTCTAAACTTCTGCTTTGAAATAATAGGTGATGCCCGTTTTGTTCTGTTCAGATGTCTTCTTTGCTTAATGAAAAATATTGGCGGGTTATTTGATCTCCTTGAAACAAACAATATCAGATGAAAGGTGTAAATAGCGTATTGGTGTTCAACTGCGAAAACATCTTTGAGACAAGTTTACTACAGACGACTCGCTTGATACTCACGCAATATGCGCTTGCGGAGTCATGGACAGCCTACGCAGAAAAAAATATAACAGTAACCAACGAATAATTGCAGCACGACCTAGCAGGAGCAAGAAAAAGCCGCGATAATGTAGATCATCTGTCTGACAGCGGCTGACGCATGCGGCAGTCGCGAAAGACCTGTTTCATGACGAAGATGCATCTTCGATACTCTTCAAATATTTTTACATGTATTGCGTCACGCCCCGCAAGGCCGAAAGCGGTATCAGTAATGCCTATTCGTCTACAATGTATTAGATACCGCCATCGTAACATAATCGTGCGAAACGCTAAACCTAGGTGAAATTCCTCTCCTCAAACTGATGCTACCTCCATTATTCTACTTTGATAAAAAAAGCCATCGACAAATCTACATTTCAACTTGAGGTATCTTGAGAGTGCAGGCAATAAGAACGCTGCGTACCCGCAGTTGTTGTAGCGTAATCTAGTGGCGGCACTCCAAAACTGGCCTGCGTACGTACACGCTTTTTTCAGGGAAAGCTCCTAAAGAGACATGAAAAAGCTCGGGTGTCCCCCCAAAAAAGTCGATTTCGCCAAAAGGGTGTAGCAATGAATGCGATAGCAACATATTCGAATGTTCTAGGAGGCAATTCAAGCATTCAGTCTCCAGTTACTTTACAAAACGCTGGTGTAAAGGCGCGTTTACACTAGAGTGACACGACACTGACACACCCCGACAGATACACGAGACAGACGCAGGCCATCAGTCGAAGTGTCATCCGCTGACAAAGTGGCTAGACCGCATGGTCACACTAGTCTGAGGACAACAACGATGCTTCAAAAGACAGCATGTCATCCTAGGTGCGCTTACAGAGAGCAACACGACACTAACTTGACCCAGACGAAGACACGAGGCAGACTCAGACCATCGACTGATGAGTCACCCGCCGATGAAGTCGCCAGATTCCATGGTCACTCAGAGTAGACCGAAAACGACGATGATGCCTCAAAAGACAGCATGTTGTATTGTAACATAATGACAGACTGAAAACATTAGCGAAACGCATCGGCAGACCTGTTGTCGGCGTGTCGTCGGGATATCTGAGGCTGAACAAAAATTTGCCCATTTCTTCGCTTCAAATGACCACGAAGGGGGAAATCTGCGAAGATATAACGATCCCTCCCGGGGCTTCCGCAACGTTTCAATAAGTATCTTACGCACCCAACGAAAGTTTTAGCTTTCCTTTTGTGCAACCACCCTGCCCCTTGACGCTGAGGATTGTGACGGGGGCTGCGCTAGATAGCCGGAGAGGGGCCATGGCAGAGACGGCAGCATGACTGAAAATGAGGTGCAGTTGTGAAAGTTTAGTCGGTGTTGCTGCATGTGCCTCCAGTATGACTACAGAATTGTCCAACAGAAGACTGAGAATGACAAGGTGCGGACGGTGTCTTCCAGAGACCACCGGCTTACTGTTTGTGTCGTTGCAGTGTAATATGACGCCGACAAGACGAAAGACACTCCCAAAGAATGTCAGCAGACCAAAACAGGTGTGTCGCTCTGTATCAACGCGCCTGCTGTGTAACTTAATGACAGACCAAAAACACCAGCAATACGCATCGGCAGACCTGTTGTCGGCGTGTCGTCGGGAGATCTGCGGCTGAATGAAAATTAGCCCATTTCTTTGCTTCACTTGACCGCGCAGGGGGAAATCTTGGGGAAGATATATATGCTTTTTCCGAAGACTCCAGGGCGTTAGAATAGGCATCTTGCGCCCCCAGGGAAGTCTTTTCTTAGCTTCCATTTTGCGCATTCCCACCCTGGTTCTTCGATGCCGTGGATTATAACGGGGGCTGTGCCGTATAGCCGGAGAGGGACAGTTGTGAAGCAGAAAGCATGGCTGAAAATGAGGTGCAGGAGTGCAAGTTTAGCCGGTGTCACTGCGTGTGCCTCCAGTGTGACTACTGAACTGGAAAACGGAAAACTGAGCCCGACAAGGCAGGAACAGAGTCTTTCAGAGACCATCAGTGGAGTGTGTGTCGGAGTGTAAATATGATGACCAAAAGACAAAATACCCTCCCAAAGACAGTCGCCAGACCAAATTGGTGTCTCTCTCTCTAGGAAAAACGAGCCTTAAGAGAGCATGGCCACTAGAAGTACATTTTTAAGACCACTTTTTCATGTAAAGAAGCAGCCCGTAGAAGCTCCCACCTGCTGTGGGGGCGCAAGGTGCGCGGTGATCGTTACGGGATAAGCACTCCTCTCCTGTTTCCTCACAAGATAAGCGCGCGTGCTGACTACCCTGGCTGGTAGGGCGACGTTCGCTCCACAGATAAAAGAGGGTCGCGCATCCTTCTCCGTATATATACAGGTTTTTTCAAGAATTGTGTCCAATATTCCTTAAAAATTACAGAAAGTAGGTATCTGCATGCTACTTGCGGCATTGCCTTCCTGTGGCTCAGATGTGTGCAAACATTTACGGCAGTAATTATATAAATTAACACAATTATTTTTTACCAGTTGTGATAGCTGGTCGAGCCAAGTAGGCAAATTTAAGCCCTTCCTACGAATAGCCCATAGCCACTTTGTAATTTTGGAAAAGCGGTCACTGGTAATCACGGCGGAGCGATGCAATCTGACCAACTTAGCTGGCGAAACCGAAACGGTTGCACCAAAGAACACCCATATTATTCACTTCAACAACACCTTCAACGACAGCATTGTTACTGTTAACAAAGGTTAATTTTGTTAATTCTCTATTTACATTCATAATAATATTTGCATTCATCTGAAGATGCCTTCTGCCACAGGAAAGGCAACGGCGCAAGCAGACGCAGATACCTCCTTTCCGTGATTTTTATGGAATATTGATCTCATTTCTTGAAACACCCTTTACACATACATATACATATACGTGAATGACCGTGGCGGCGACGGCAAAAAGCAGCTGAGACTCCATATATTGCTGT